GGGGGGGTTGGGGGGTCCTCGAAGTTATTTGGCGACGCTGAGGGGTCCTGAGACATGACAGGAACCGCTGGGGGATGCTGGGAGGTATTGGGAGTGATGATGGGAGAGGAGTGCTGGGAAAAGAGGGCGCTGGGGTGTGCTGGGAGAAACTGGGAAGCAGCGGGGAGGGCACTGGGAGGCGGTACTGGAGGGACTAAGAGGCACTGGGAGTACTGGAGGGACTGAGGACTATTGGGAGGCGGTACTAGAGGGACTGGGAGTACTGGAGGGACCGAGGAGTACTGGGAGGCGGTACTGGAGGGACTAAGAGACGCTGGGAGTACTGGAGGGACTGAGGAGTACTGGGAGGCAGTAATGGAAACAGTCTGGAAGGCAGAGCTGGGGGCACTGGGAGGACAGGGGCAGGTAGGTGACACCTGTGGAGTTCTGGCATCCCCACAGCCCGAGGGGGCCAGACTGGCCACGTCCCGGGCCTCTGGGGTGGGAAGTGTGGCGTCACACCCCGGGGTACACACTGAGAGCCCCAGGAGTTACCGGGGGATGCTGGAAAGTGCTGGAAGCACTGGGTGGCTGAGATTTGAGGGTATCTGGCTAAAGCCAAGTAACTGTGGTTGCCCTCATGGGCCCGAATTTTGGCCCCTGGAGGGGTGCTGGGGAAGGGCTGAAGGGCAATGCTCACTGCAGGGCTGGCGTTCCGGGTGGGTGTGCCAGGACCTGGCATTCCAGGTGCCAGGAGCTTGGGAGCATCCTCGACTTCAGAGATGTGCTGTGATCATCCATCTGGCCTTGCCAGGCTGGGAGAATGAGCTCCTTTCTCCTTTGGCACATCAAATCCCCACGTGCCACTGCTGTCGGTCGTAGTGAAATGTTTCATGCCCACCTTTGCTTGTTGCATTTGTTTTTTTAATGGATTTTTTAAAAGTCAGGGTTTAAAAAAGGTTCTTGTAAGGGTAAGCCTGAAGGATGAGAGGGCAGCAAGTGGTCTGTGCGTTTTGGATTACTGAAATCTTTCCAGGAAAGCATGAATGCTGTTCTTGCTGACTTGCTGTTCCTTTTAGGAAGGACACGTCTGACTGGTCAGAATCAGCTAATGGATCTTTGCAAATGGATGCTCTCTCCTTGGAGTCCACCAGCAAGGAGGCCTACTTCAGCAGAGTAGAAACATTCACCATATCCTTTCTGATGCTGAGCTTCCAGCTGTCCCCCACCCAGTTCTGTTGTCACCTTCCCCATGGCTCCCCCACAGGCTCCATCTTAGAATCATAGAATCACAGAACGGTTTGGGTTGGAAGGGATCTCAAAGACCATCCAGTTCCAAACCCCCTGCCATGGGCAGGGACACCCTCCACTACACCAGGTTGCCCAAAGCCTCATCCAACCTGGCCTTGAACACTTCCAGGGATGGGGCAGCCACAGCTTCTCCGGGCAACCTGTTCCAGTGCCTCCCCACCCTCAGAGGGAAGAATTTCTTCCTTAGATCCAATCTAAATCTGCCCTCTTTCAGTTTAAATCCATTGCCCCGTGTCCTGTCACTACACACCCTTGTCCAAAGCCCCTCTCCAGCTTTCCTGTAGCCCCTTTAGGTACTGGAAGGCTGCAATAAGATCACCCCGGAGCCTTCTCTTCTCCAGGCTGAACAGAGGCTTTTCAACCTTCTCAGAGGCTTTTCTTTGGCCAAATAAACCTTGGCCAAAGCTTCAGCTGCTTAAACTGTAGTTTACTGGGTTTTATCCTTAATGTGAGCACCCGCTGAAGTGGGCAGGCAAACCCCATGACCTGTCTCCACTGGTGTGTGCCAAGTACGGCTGGACCAACGTGGAGTGTGACATGCTGAAGTGCTCCAGCTGCCAGGCCTTCCTCTGCATGAGCCTGCAGCTCGCCTTTGACTTCAACAAGTGTATGTATGTGGGTGTCTGGCGGGCACGGGGGGTGGGCTGCAAGGTTTGCAGGGGGCGTGTGCCTACTGTCTGTGTAAGCAACTCCCATAGTCTTGTCCTGGGTGGTGTTGAGTGTTTGGTGTCTCTGAAAATAAAGTGCAAGTCGAATAAATTCCCTTTAGTTTGTGAGAACATGGTAAAACTTCCTGCTTCTGTTGTCAGAGATGGGTTAGAGTAGAATAGTTCCAGTTGGATGGGATCTCTGGTGACATCTAGTCCAGCTGCCTGACCGCTTTGGGACTGATCAAGTGCTAAAGGATATTACTAGTAGATGCTCCATCCCTGGAAGTGTTCAAGGCCAGGTTGGATGGGGCTTTGGGCAACCTGGTGTAGTGGAGGGTGTCCCTGCCCATGGCAGGGGGGTTGGAACTAGATGATCTTTAAGGTCCCTTCCAACCCAAACCAGTCTGTGATTCTATAAATATTTCTAATGTGGGCTGTTGGTGGCTGCTGGTCACCAAGTCAGTCTGTTCAGGTGGTCACATTGTGTAATTTAATTAATTAAACTCCTCCACTGCCCCCTTTTCAACTTCTTGGACTACCAGTGGTAAAACTCCCCCTCCTGTTTCCCTGCTGAGCTCCCTGCCCGGGTTCA